CGATGCGATCATCTTGGGCCCATCCTTATTCAAATAGAAGTACCTGAAAAAATTTAAACATAAACCGTAAGCATAAAGCTTAGTAAGTTTCCCCAAAGTACCACATGCCATACATCAGACATACATAAAAATATAACGAGTCTATTTCACCACTGAATCCCTTTTGACCCTCTGAGTCCCTTACGACGCCATGGGTCCCTTTCGATTGTTTGAGTCCCTTCGACTCCTTCGTTATCTTTCAACCTGTAGAGGTCTATTTCGCCCCTATAGCTAAGCAAACAGTCATACTAGCAAAAGTATAAAGACATCAAAGACATACAAGCATATCAGTAAGTGTCACGAATATCACTAATACAGTAGGCCAACATTAGTGCCTTTGACCCACAAACAAAGTGAGGAGACTCACTTCAATCTGATCATTAACAAATCACACTCTCGGGCTAATACTACCGTGGCTCCTCACACTGAACATATTTGAGAGGCATCCCTAATTAATAATCAGGGAAATAACCCCTATTTAATGGTCCAAAATCATATTCTATCTTATTAAGGGAAAAATACCATTTTACCCTTCCCTTACTTCGCCAATCTAACCATAGCCCAAACCATAACTACCCAAGGACAAAAAATGGCAAAGTAGCCTTCTAATGAGTATTCCCTATGTATCACCCATTACGCCTAACGTACTGGGCTTCGAAAAAAGGGAATTCGGGAAAAGTCTGTTACACCTTGTGTATTTGGGAGGTACACCCACCATACTCCTCTGTTGCCCAAAACTATACTTTAAGTCCTTAATGATTTAAGACAAAATGTCCCAATCACATATGTAACTATTAAAAAGGTCTTAACTGATAAGGTTCGTAACTTTATGCTTTTTCCTGGCTTAATAGGACCCAACACTAAACTCTAGGTCCAAAATTTCATAAAAAGATCAACAACTCATCCATTGGTGGAAGACAACCCCCAAGATTCAATTTTTATGAATTATCAAACTTAGAGATGGCTAGAAATGTTGCTCACAGGTTCTGGAGTAACTTATATTAAGAAGATCCAAGCAATGGGACCAAGATATGCCATAATATGAGTCAAAACTCAATCTACACCAAAGATATATAAAGTTTGAACCTTTATACCTCCAAAAGATGCTAAATGAAGAACTAAGTCTGGATCTACAATCTCCAACCCAACACTTCTCCAATGAGATCCTTGTTCTTCTTCAGTATGCACCGAAACACACCAAATAACTCAAATGGTTCAAGAATTTCACAAATGGGGCTAGGCTTTCAAAATGATGCTTTGGGATAGTGGAGGCTGATGATGATACATGTATTAAGGTATATAAATAGGATCCAAAACCCAAAAATTAGGGTTTAACACCTGCATGAGTACGTCCAACGTACCAAGCACATATACCTAGCGTACTCAAGGAATCTAGCGACCATTTTGATGACCTATTCCCAACATACCTATCACGTATGCCTAATGTAGGGACTAACTTGCAAACTTTTCATTTATTTAGACTGTATATAAAAATACCTGGAACACGAACATTACAATTCTCCCCCACTCGAATCAAACTTCTTCCTCGAAGTCCGCCTGCTCAAACAACTCTAGATAGTGTTCTCTTATATCCTCCTCTGGCTCCTTTGTCCACTTTGAGCCATTTAGGTGCTGCCAATACACCTTCATTAAACCTACTTCCTTGTTTCTTAGAGTCATTGTCTTCTTATCGAGGATCGTAATCGGTCTCTCTATGTAGTTTAGGCGCTCGTCCACCTGAATATCGTCCAACGACACCACTACGGAATCATTGACCAAGAACTTCCATAGCTGAGAAACATGAAAAGTGTTGTGAATCTAACTGACCTCCGTGGGTAATTCCCAACAATAACCAACCATGACCACTCGAGCAATAACCCTGAAAGAATCAATATATTTGGGGCCCAACTTTCCCTGCTTCCTTAATCGGATGCCATCTTTCCAAGGCGCGACCTTCAGGAGTACCATGTCCCCAACCTGAAACTCCATATTTGATTGGCGTCAATCAACATAACTCTTATGTCAGCCTTGTGTCCAGAGCACCACCTCCGTGCTACCCATTACTTGCTGACTAACCTTGATCTAGTAAATATGGATTAATACTTCCTCCCATAAAGCATCTTGAAACGTGGTCGATCAATACTGGCGTTATTGTTCCACGTGTAATTCCAAACGATAAGTAACCCTGCCCACTCAAGCAATAACCCTGAAAGAATCAATATATATATATGGGCCCCAACTTTCCCCACTTCCTGAACCGGATGTCACCTTTCCAAGGAGACGCCTCCAGAAGTACCATGTCCCCAACCTGAAACTCCAAATCCGATTGGTGCCTATCAGCAAAACTCTTTTGTGTCCAATCCAAAGGGAGATATGTATCCTAGCTACTGCCAAAATCCAACACACATGCCTGAAACATATCCTCCATGGTCTGGACAGTCCACTCACTCTAACCTTGATTTCGTGGATGAAAAGCCGTGTTAAAGTGCAATTGCATACCCAACTCCTCATGAAATCTCTTCCAGAATCTCGAAGTGAAAACAACATCCCGATCACAATCTACTAAGATTAGGACCCCATGCCATGCCACAACCTCCCGGATGTAGACATCCACCAACTTCTCCATAGAGACACTCTTCTGAATAGAAATGAAATGCACACTCTTTGTCGATCAAGCCATGATGACCCAAATCGTATCTACCCCTTGCATGGTCTGCGGTAGCTTTGTGATAAATCCACCGTAATCTCTTGCCATTTTGAAATGAGAATAACCAACGACTTCAATTTTCCATGAGGATGTTGATGCTTATCCGTGACTTTTCTAAAATTAAAGCACCTCTCCACATATCAGGTCATGTCCCGCTTCATGCAGGGCCACCAATAATTAAGCCAGAGGTATCTATACATCTTTGTTGCATCCGTATGAATAGAAAACTTCGACTTGTGCGCCTCCTCCATCAAAATCTACCACATACCCGCAAAATAAGGAACCCAATCTCTCTGATGAAGGATCAATAATCCCCAAATATCATTATCAAAAGAGGACACCTGACCCATTATACACTCACTCTTTCGGTGTTCATCTTTCATAGCCTCCACGTGAGCCTCTCAGATTTGCTCTGAAAGTGGGGTAATCATAGTTATCCTCAAACATACTTCCCTAATAGGGGTACTAGCTGCCTTGTGTCTAACAACAATGTCCACCACGTTGGCCTTCCTTCGGTGATAAAGGATCTCACAGTCATAATCCTTTAACATATTGAGCCACCTGCACCTCCTTATGTTAAGATTTGGCTGATCCATTAAATACCTTAAAATCTTATGATCATATGTAGATGATGCAACATATCCCATACAAGTAATGAAGCCAAATATTTAGAGCGAAAACTATTGTATTAGGTGTCTAATCCCATAACTATAATTAGTATAAACTTGAATTTAAGGTAGCATAGCCCTTTTGGGTTACCTTTAAACCTAGAAATAGGACAGGATGATATTTGGAGAGAGAAGTTGATTTATTACTTGATTAATAAATTGAAATTAATAATTTATTAATATTATAAGAATTATATAATAATTATAAATAGCAATATTAAATTAATATTTAATCATAAATTAATTGGAATTCATTTTGGGATTAAAAGAATTAATTAAAAGTGTAGAATCTAAAGTAAAGTTATTCAATAGTTGAACAAAAGGCTCTAAAACCTTCCTAGTATAGATATAATCTAGGGTTTCTAGAATATCCCATGTGAATAATTGGGAAGAAGATAATTACCAAATTTGAATTAATAATATTTAATCCAAATTAGGGTTATCTTGGGTTTCCTTGTTGCACTATATAAAGACCCCTATACCTTTCATTTTTGATCATCTATTCTTCCTCTTGGGTTGGCCGAAATTCTCACATCCTCCCTCCTCTCTCCTTAATATCCTTCTTTCTAGCCTGGGTATGAACCATTAGACGCACGACGCTTGTGGTCGTTGCTTCCAAAGCTTCAACAACACAAGTATCATTATTATTTTCAATAATAAAAATAAGATATGTAATCCTAAACCTTTTTATATGATTTTCTAAAATAACCTAGGGTTCCTAGGAATCTTAATTTGATGTTCATAGTTATAGGTTCAATAGTGAAAACATATATCTTGTTTTAGGAAGCATGCGCACTTAAGAGTTTAAGTTTGTTATACATAAAACCCATCAATGGAATCGGAGCATTTGGTTTGTTATCAATTAAATTGTTATAATTGTTAAATTTGATCAAAATTAGGCTTTGTGGCAATTAAACCCTAAGAGGTCACAAATTTTAAAATTAGGGTTTTCTTTCCCCCTAAGTTTCAAAATTAGGGCAAGGGTTATGAAACCCTTACCCTCCTCCCCAAGATTTAGAAATTAAGATAAGGATTTGAAATCCTTACCTTCCTCCCCATGCTATTTTCGAAATTGGTAGGTGATATGGATATTTAGTTTTGGTAATTATCTTATTACTTGCATTCACTACTAGAAAAACAGCCTTTTACGACGCTCATTGCGCGTCGTAAAAGGCTCAGACGACGTGCAAATGCGCGTCAAGGAAGGCCCTGTCATAAAGAGAGACGACGCGCAATTACGACGCGCGTTTACGACACGCAATGCGTATCAAGGAAGGCCCTGTCATAAAGGAAGACGACACGCATTCGCGTGTCGTAACCTTACGACGCGCGTGTTAATGACACGCAATGCGTATCAAGAAAGCCCCTGTCAACAAAGGCCATGTCATAAATGAAGATAACACACATTTTTGCGTATCGTAAATTTAAATATTTAAAAATATATATATTTATATATTTATTAAATTTTAAATTAAATTTGCATTTAATGTGTCATAATAGAAATAAAATACCATATACAAAAAAATACAATCCATTGAATAAACTTTAATGTCATACAATTCTATTTCTTACAATATATAAATTTGCATTCATCTAATATACTCTATGTTTCATACTAACAATTGAAATGAAGAATACAACACTTGCATTTTCAGCATCTTATCTCTTTCGGCTTGAGCTTTCTTTTCCACTTCTAACTCGAGAGCTATTCGCTTTCATCAACCCTGTAAACACAACACAAAATCACTTGTCATTTTCATTCGCTTTCCAATTTTCGTTGTGTGTTTAAACAATGACAATCAAAATGACAAGAATACCCTCATACAAATTGTAAATATTACCTGTAAAGCTATCAACAATGACAATTCTTGATCCTATGAACTAGAGAGTATATCATCACAATTCCATCTAACACCACCCATAAGAACCCGTAAAGCTATCAACAATGGTAATCCCTGTTTCAATTCTTTTTTATAAAGGTCATTTTTTATAATGTTTATGAGTTATAAATACGTGTGTGTATGTTAAGGTGTTTTTTTTCTGTTATACACAAACAGCAACACACATGCACACACATAAAAAAAGTAACAAATAAATGATGTTTTGCGGAATATAGCATTATCCTTTCATAGCAGTGTACTTTAAGTTTTTGTCAATTATAGCATTGAACTTTTGTTCTCTCTCTCTCTCTATATATATATATATATATATATATATATATATATATATATATATATATATATGGTTAGAAATAACAGTAATATGAAACTTGCAAAGAGAAAGAGAAAAAGTCAACTCACTTGGTCAATTGCAAAATGAGCAGGTTTATCTTTTACAAGAGACAACTCTTCCCTCAAGCGAACCACCACTCCAACAGAAGCATGTGTGGTAGTGATTCTCGTTTGAACCAAATCATATAAAGATGAACCTTCAGGCATTGATACTGAATCTGCATCCTTCATCCTCCCAACAACAGCAGCTTCACCAAGTGGAATGGGATCAAATATCTTACAAGGCAGCTTCATTAGAGATGATTCGTTGTATTTCAAGAAATCCTGTAAATTAACAAGAAATACATATGATTTATTAACTTGTCAATTGCATGTTGAAAGAAGTTTTGTAACTAAACGACCAATTAAAACATTAACAGGAACGACTTTTATCATGGAAAGCAACACTTTAAGGCACGAATCATCATCATGACTGTACTCCACGAGTGATTCCAATAATACCCCTAGAAACTTGTCAATGTTGGACTCCTTGGTTAATTCAGAAAGAACCCCCGAAAGATCCATTTATCACAAAATCAAAACCATGTTCAGGAAACATAAAGAAAAATAAAAACTTTGAATTGTCAAAATAAAGAAAAAATTTATCCTTTGAGGCCTACCTATTTCCCTTCAAGATATTAACAGCCTTTTTAGGGAGCACTTCCACAGATTGCAACTACCATGTAAATAAGAAGGGTATAAATTAACTGCATAGAGTTACGGATAAACAACATATGGTAAGCAAGAATACCTGTACTGGCCTAACATTGTCGTGATTAAATTGCATTCTCTGTTATACCTTGTAATAGATAAGAAAAACTGTTAATTGATGATCCTACTATAATCTGCACTTCATAATGTAAAAGTTAAATCAATTACTTGGTTATAACCAGCATGGGCTGCTGAAGCATACGGTCCATAGCTTCCCGCCATTCCAATATTCCCTGTATTGCTTCCTGGCTTATATTGTGGAAGCGGGTATTTAGAATTAGAGGTGGCAACCACTAGTGGTGGTGCTGCTGGATACATGCCTCCGCCGCCTTGTTGTGGTTGTTGTGGGAATGTCTCGTTGCTTAAAAACTGATGGATAGCAGGTGGTGGAGGGACATAAAATGGGGAGAAATATGGACCGTATGGGATGTAATTTGGAGGGTAATGAGGTAGATGAACCCCTGGTGACTGCCGGAAAACAGGTAATGGTTGTTGAGTGACGGATATGGAGCTTTGCATGACTCCGGGGGTTTGTGTGGCGGTTGTTGGTGTTGGACTGGTGGTGGATAGCATTAGCGAGTTCCCGACCTGTGGTTTCAATTAATTAGTAAATAAAGGCATATATATATGGTTAAATTTGTTGGCATTTAAGAAACAAACCTCTTGAGAAGAGTGAGAAGGTTGTTGAACATTTCAATTGTTCTTTGTGGTTGAGTGGAAAGGTGACATGCGCCCATCACTCTCACGATAAAAGTGAGCATAATAGCTTGCTGGATCAAACGGTTGCTGAACCTGTAAATAATTTTCTCAAAAAAATCATTTTCTTTTTTAATTAATTAATTAATGGATTATAAATAAATAAATAAATAAATAAATAAGGGTGGTAGGGTCTTACTACAAAGCTTGGGACATGAGAAGCATCGTGTGCCTGAGACTTGGTGTTTTCAAAAGATGTAACTTGGCTTCCAATCATTGGTGGCATGAACCCAAAACTGAAGTTTGGATTTGGTGATGTATGAACAGCTGGGTATTGATGACTTGGAGTAGGGAGTGAAGAAGAAGAAGAAGAAGAAGAAGAAGAAGTTTCTTGCTTCGACTCTCTGCACTCGGGTCCCGCATTCAATGACATGTCACCTTCTGTTGGTAAATTCTTGGGTACATTAGATGAAGATGTGGTAGGGTGTTCAAGATGATCCTCCTCTCCAAACAACATTTTCATTTCTGAACCACTAAAGTGCATACATTTATCAGAAAATGTTGTCTACTCCAATATGAAATACAACCTAAGTAACAGAAACCTGGATTGCATTTGATCCTCTTTAGTTTCATCACCCTCCTCAGATGCTTCAGACGTCTTTTCACTCATGGTCACAGCCACGGGACCATTGAGTTTGAGGGGGTTTTATTAAAACCAAAAATGACATCAAAACTCCCAAAACAGAAGCCGAGTTTTTCGGCTTCGGGAACATGAAGGTGATTTGGGATAATGACATGTTTATCATCTGAAATGTGGGACTCCTTCAGCTTCTTCTCAAGTTCATCCTCCTATGAATCAAGATTAGTGGAGGATGTAGAAGAAACTATTGTTGGAGTATGAGCTTCAACTGGAACCACAACCACATGCACCTTAATTGACCTTTGACTTTGAGAAATTGGTTTCGGTTTCCATTCCATGCTAGGACCAACCGTAGGAAATCACAAACAAGTTTATCATTAAGTTATACTGTTTCACTTCTAATAAAAGCATTCATTTAAAAGTTAAGGTATCAGTGTCTTGATACCTTTTTGAGGTCCAATTGCTTGTTGCATCCTATTATTATAATTTGATGAAGGCCTGGAAATGGATAAGGAGACAGCTGTCGTTTCACCTTCCTTCTTGTTTTTTCATAGAGATTCTCTAGATGAAAATCTTGTTCTAAAAGAATTGTCACTGCAACATCCTGGAAAGTAATGGAGTTTGTAAAGTTTTAAATGAAAAGACCAAAATACCCTCGTTACATATATAATAATAAAAGGAAAAAGGTGTATTACTTACAGAGCCATTCCAATCAACACAATGAACAATACCAAAAGAACCAGTGCAAATGTTGGTCTCGCTGCCTAGTCTGTGAATCGACTTCTCCCCTTCACAATTCTGTAAATCCTTAAATTTGAACCTTAGTACAGGTTCTTGCCTCCTTTAAACTATAAAGAGTCAAACCCCCTGAATTTCCAAATATGAAAGCGAATTGCTTAATAAATAAATAAACCAGTATCACATAATCAAACTAAAGTGACCTTGATTAAAGTCAAAATAGATTAAAGTCAAATGTCAAAGTGAATTGATTAAAGTCAAAATACATGCAAAATCGACCTTGAGATCGATTTTGAGAGGCTAAATAAAATCGGAATGCAAAAGATGAGAATTAGAGTGAAGATGATAACGTCAATATACATTAAGAATCACTCCCACATACTTCTTATTGGAGGAGGAAGCAGCTCATCTCCAGGAGCGCCATCTCCACGCAAATCAACCCACATCCTTCTTATTGGAATCCTTTGTCTTAGAGAATAGAGATGAAGGAGGGTAGGAAGCGATATAGGGTTCGAGTGTGAGAGAGAACCGTTATTGCATCCAATGATCAGATTTCATTAGACGCACTCCAAACTCAACCTGAATTCGGATCCTTCGAAGGCACCAGTGGGAGGTATATGTTTTCCCTAGATCCTGAACTCCCACCAGATTTCTTCCCAGACTTCATGCTCTTCCATGGGTCGACTTTCTTCCCTTTGCCACTCTGATTACAGAAACGTACCTGCGAGAGTCGGTCCTCAAAAATTTCAGTCTCGAGTGATTCGGAGGTGGGACCACCGGTAGAGGAAGAATCATCGAGCGTTTCTTTCGTTTTGAAGGAGAAGGTTAGGGGCAGCGGTGCGTGGGATCTGAGTGGGGATATAGGGATTGGTGTTTCGATCTTGAACTGGTATCTTGAGATGGAGGAAGTGTGTGCTTAGGTTTCTAGATGCACTCCAAACTCTTAAAGCTTATCAGGTTCGATGTTGGTGGTGGCAGCTTAGGGCTTAGAGAGAGAGAGAGAGAGAGAGAGAGAGAGAGAGTACAGAGGTAAAGGAAGACGAGCCGATTCAAAAGGATGTGTTGATTCAAAAGGATTATTAGGGTTCTATTGTAGGATTCTAGTGTGGATTGAGTTTTTAAGGCTCAATGGCGGTGGCAGTGGCGATGGCTTAGGGTTTACAGAGAGAAGGAAGGAGTGAATGAAAAGAGAGATACTGAGGAGAGAGGGTAGAAGCGGGGTTCTTCAAAATTTTAGAATTTCAGACGATTTCATTTTCCCCCTTTAAAAACGCGCGTTTAGGAAAAAAATATAAAGCGACACATTTAGAGGACGCACACTTTATGAAAGGCGCCCTCCGCATTTCTTTTTTTTTTCTTTTCTTACACTAATTTTAGGGCACGCACAAATGCGCGCCCTCTATCCTTCAAATTTTGCAAAGCTGACATTATTTTTTAGGGCACGTACAAATGCGCATCGTCTATCAGAGAGTGTCATTGTTTGCGCGTCATTAAAGGTCTATTTTCTAGTAGTGATTAATAAATGGATAATTAAAATTAGATCACTCCTGTACCTATTTTCAAAAATTGAGGGGTATTTGGATTAGAATTAAATCCATTGATTAATTTAATTGGATAATCCTTATTTGATTTAGTATGATATTAATAGATAGTTATTAATCATTTGGTTTAATTTTTAAATTTAAAGTAATTGTTTAATTTTTGAAATTTAAATATAAACCTAGTATTTTGAAAAGTTTTAAAATACACCTTGTACTATATGTAAAATTAATATTGTAATTATTGCTATACGTATAAGACTAAGTCAGTCAAACTGCTAATACGCCTCATTCACGAAGCTAGACTATAAGGGGGTATAAGGAAACTGCCTATAAAATGGTAATTGAATGGGTGTCAACTCTCACCCACCGCTTCCTTGATTAGTGGAGGGTCATTAGCCGATAGGGTTTGATAGGACATCTATACCTCATTAAAAGTATAATGCTATTACAAGTAACTAATCTTTTATTTAAAATCCTAATCTTAGTTACTTTAGGAAAAATGTGAATTTGTAGGCTAACCCATGAAATTGCACATTACACTTTATAAGTCGTTAGTGGAGCATGTGTAGTTAACTAAAACACGAATTGAAGACTAACAAAGAATGGTAATGGGTGTCTTGAAAATCATCATTTATTAACGGAGCTCGTGTGGCTAACCGGTACATTAAATTGAGATGATAAATAACATTGAGAGTGCCAAGCTAATGTGCATGGTTATTCACATCTTATTTTTTATCCTTGGTATCCCAGACACAAATAGAAGAGCATAATCTAAGATTAAACATGTCATTAAGTAGTTTCAATGAATCTCAAAAGATTTAGGAATTTCATCAAACCTTAATTGTCTTTAAAACTTTGTTTCTTATGGTGGAATTGGTAAATCGTCATATACCTACCCTTACATAATTTACAACTAGATTACGACATCCCTTTTCTAATTTGTGACTTATTTAGTTGGATCCTACCCTTAATATTTCATTTTGGGTTGTAATATTAAGGTTCATTCTTATCTCTCTAAAACTACCTTATTTTTACAGATGTCTACTCCAACTAATGCTTCTGGTTCCTCCTCCTCCTCTAATGAAAATTCTCTTTGCTTAACATCTACTCAAGGGTGACATTCGATAGCACCAACTACAATGATTGGATGCGCAACATCAAGATGGACCTTCATTTTTAAGACAAAGAGTATGTCGTTGAGAAAGAACTTATTAAGATAGACCAAGGGAAGGCCACTCTTGAAGAACTAGATGAATACAAGAAACACTAAAATCATGCAACAAAAGTTTCTTGTATCATGGTAGCAACCATGACTCATGAATTGTAAAGATTCTATGAGTATTAATGTCCATAAGAGATGAAACAGGACCTTATGGAAAAGTACCATAAGTGAGCTCATCAAGAAAAGTACGTAGTGGTAAATTACCTCATGTCAAGCAAGATGAAAGATAGAGATTCTGTTATCAGCTACATGCAAAACATGCAACGATACATGGATCGTCTCATTAAGCTAAATGTGAATTTTGATAAGGAGTTGGATATTGACATAATCTTGCACTCCTTGCCAAATTTTATGATCATTTCATTTTGACCTATTATTTGAACATCAATGAGACAACTTTGTCTTAATTACAGAACCTCCTGCGAACTGCTGAAGATAGAATGAATGGAAAGAGTATTGCCTCCACTCATGCTGCTACTTTAGTTTCAGCCATAGGTCAAGGGATAGGGAAAAAGAGGAAAGGTCCTCCCAAGGAAAACTTGATGGGAAAGCCTCAAGTTGGGATGTCAAGCAGTGGACCTAAAGGTAAATCCAGTTTTGATGCTCCTCCTATCTCTGATCCCAAGAAGGCCACTTGATTCTACTACAAGGATAATGGGCATTAGAAACGAAGTTGCCCAAAGTATCTTTAAGATATTAAAGATGGCAAGGTGAAGCCAACTTCTTCAGGTATTTACATTATCTTATCTAAAAACTCATCTTGTTCTCGTTCTTGGGTCCTTCATACAAGATGTGGAATTCAAATTTGTTCTGATTTGCAGGGGCTAAGAAGAAGTGAGGACATGGAGCATGGTAGAATAAACATGATCATGGGGAATAGACGATCTTCATCTATCACCAAGATTGGAGTTTATAGTCTAGTGCATAGGGATGCAGTTAGTTTAGATTTGATAATTATTGCTACTCATCAGATTTGACACAAAACACTATTTCTTTTCATGCATTGATCAGACTAGGTTTTAGATATGCTTTTAATAATTTGAATGGTTTAATTTATGTTTATAAAAATGGTGTTTTTATTTATTTTAAAGCTTTACCATATGATGGTGTGTATGAAAATGTGATTTGTGTAGACAATTTAGGCAATTAGGGGTGAGCAAACCCAAACCAAAAAACCGAGAAACCGACTAAAACCGACAAAACCGAAACCGAAAAAACCGAAACCGAAGCAAAACCGACGGTTTGGGTTTGATATTTTTAGAAACCGAAAAATCGGGTTCGGGTTCAGTTTCTAACCAGAAACCGACCCATCCAACCCAAGAAACCGACCCATACTTAAAACCGACAAACTGCCCCAAGAAACCGACCCATCCAACCCAAGAAACCACCCATACTTGATTGTGTTTTAGTTGTAATACACTATTTCGGGCTTTAGTTGTAACTTGTAATTGACTATTTGTGTAAGAGTCATGTTTTTTGAAGTACTTAACTTAAATTTGTTATTTTTTGAAGTATCTAACTTGTTGCTTCATTTATGGAAAATGGGTTAAAACCTTAAACCCATGGGTTTAAACCCAGAACCCGTGAGTGTATGGGTTGAACCCAAGAAACCGAAAAACCGCCCAAACCGACCTCAGAACCCAAGAAACCGAACCGACCAGAAACCGATCCTATTGGGTTCTAAAAACCAGAAACCGACCATTTATGGGTTGGGTTGGGTTTGAGTCCAAAACCGACCCAAACCGACCCATGCACACCCCTATAGGCAATAGTGTATTTCAAATTGACTCGTCGAATGGTATAGACAAAACATTCTTGTAGTCCCTTCCGATCATCAACAAGAGATGCAAATCGATTCTATGTGACTTTTACGGATGATTCTAGTAGATATGGTTATATCTACTTAATTAAGCATAAGTCAGAATCATTTGAAAAGTTCAAAGAGGTTAAGTAAGAAGTCAAGAATCAATTGGACAGGAAGACAAATATGCTTAAATCTGATAGAGGCGATGAGTATTTTAGTATAAGGTTCCTTGACTACCTCAAAGAATGTGAAATAGTTTCACAATTGACACCTCCTAGGACACCATACCTTAATGGTGTGGCTGAGAGGCTTAATCGAACCCTGTTGGACATGGTTCGTTCCAAGATAAGTCGTGCTTCTCTTCCAATTACTTTATAGGGGTATGACGTAGAGACTGTCACCCATATTCTTAATCTTGTCTTAACTAACAAAGTTGCCAAAACACCTCACGAAATATGGATATGGAAGGTTCCCTCATTAGCACATATCAAAGTTTGGGTTTGTGAAGCTTTAATTAGACGAGACACTCACAACAAGCTTGAACCTCATAGTGAGAGATGCATTCTCATCGAATACCTACATAAGTCTTTTTGATAGTTGTTCTACAGACCTAGTGAGAACATGGTCCTTTAGCACGAAGAGGATTCTTTCACGAGAGATAGCTCATATGCAAAGAGGACAATGGGAGTACCATTGATCTTGAAGAGATTCAAGAATCAAATGATGAAGGAACCTCTGAAGATGCTAGGGATCAACCAGAGGAAGAGAATCCACTTGAACCAATTGACAAATCATTACCTCTTAGGCATTCCAGATAAGTTACAATGCCACCTGAATTTTATGGTTTCCATATTGCTACAGATGGTGATACATTTATCT